CTTCACCCAGGCTTCACCCTATATTTATATATATAAGATAGTCTATATATGTATATATATATGTAGTTTTTATTTATATATATACTTCTAGTGTATATATGTCTTTATGTCTAGTGTATAAATATATATATATATGTAGTGTATATATATAGTATTTATATATATAGTAAGTATATATATATATGTATATATCTATCTATATATGTTGCATATATATGTATAGTGTATATGTATATATGGTGTATATATATATAGTATATATAGTATATATAGTGTGTATATATATAAATATATATGTACCTGATAGATCCTAAGTTTGACCCACAATTTGTGTCGCAGAATGCAGGACTTGCCTTCAAGATCGGTCTCAATTCAGGCCCAAAATCCTGGGGTTGCTCACGATTTTCTGATTAAATGGCCAGTTGGCCATATTTTTCCATTGGTTTTCAGACACACCCAGGACCCAAGTGGTTGGTGGTTTCAAATGATACTTGCCACAAGGGGTAGATATATATATATATATATATATACGATTTTCAATCCTGGAGATGGCAAGATGAGCCCAATAGGCCGAGATATAGTAATCCTCAGAGGCCGAAAAGTGCGCAGCCAGGATGGTATACAATAGATGTCTAATTTGAATTTCCATGTTCCTAACTTTTCTATTATCATCGTTTATAGATTTTATTTTGTATTTATAATAGTACATTATTTCATCATCTTTCTATTACGATACTCTATCTTGAAGTTGCTCTAATTCATAAAAAGGATCAACCAAGCTTGATGGGTCGGAGTCTGTGTTAGGCAGAGGGAGAACAAGGCCAGCCCAAACCAAAAGTTCGCAGCCCTAGTTTCGAGCTGCGACCGTAAAGTGGTGAGATTCTTTGGAGAGTTTGGGAAATTCCCTGCACCCTCTGATTGGATAACGTAGCTATGGAAAATCACCATTTTTTATAGGTACATCTTAACAATTCATCTACAACCGGGCCATTTTCCATAGCTATGTGTTACATAAAAAGGATCAACACTTCTCCTCGCTCGCGCTCCCATGCCGTCGGCTAGGGTCGGCGAAAATCTAGAGTAGCACCAAACAAAAATGTAGAAACGTAATGAACATCTCACTAAAATAGTGAGGAGATACTTTTTTATCTTTCTTGTGGGGGTTGCTATCGATGAATGTCACATCCTATTAGCCCTAAAATTGGGATGATGATTTGAATTGAGCTATTAATATCCTGGTTGATTGGATATTATAGGGGATTATACTACCTGGGTAAATGAGACTAGGGAAACCTATTGGCCAACCAGTCTTTATTGAGATGGGATAGGGGAATGTTTAATCGCTCAATGTAGGTTAAACACCAACCAGCGATCATTTATAGCCGGTTGGCTCAGTCTCCCCATATCTCCATTTGTTTGTTAGCTATGCCCGAAGATACCCCTTATTCTCACTATTTGGTAGTTTTGTGTCACTCAACTGCCAAGCAGCATGAACTTTGATGAAATCCCATTTGTAAGTTGATGTATACGTCCTAGCTTTCCGAATGACATCTCCATCTTCCCCAGCATTTTTTGGGTGACTCAAACGCCGATACCCATTTGGATCCATTGTTTTGTTGTGCATTAACGATTATGCATGATTTTGGAGTGCTGCATCATCTGTGACAAAGTCTATACGCATTATGGACTGTTATATCATATCCATATATATATATACATTAGAGCATTATGGACTGTTATATCATTTGAGCTTTCAATCAACTATGACATACATACATGCATACATCCTTACATACATACATACATACATGCATACATGCATACATGCATACATGCATACATGCATACATGCATACATGCATACATGCATACACGCATACATGCATACATGCATATATATATATATAAATACAGGCATACATATACATACATATATACATATATACAGCATACATACTTACTTACATACTTACATACATATTCATGCATACATACTTACATACATACATAGATACACGCATACATACATAGGATAGTAACTTTTTCCCCTTGGTAGCACATCTTTTCCCCTTGAATGCACGCTTTCTGGCTTTTCGCGCGTTCAAGGGGAAAAGATGCGCAACCAAGGGGAAAAAACTTCGCTTCATACATCCATACATACATAGATGCATACCTACATACATATATATATATAATTATTTATTTATATGCATACATACATAGGATAGTAACTTTTTCCCCTTGGTAGCGCATCTTTTCCCCTTGAATGCACGTTTTCTGGCTTTTTGCGCGTTCAAGGGGAAAAGATGTGCAACCAAGGGGAAAAGCCTCGCTTCATACATCCATACATACATAGATGCATACCTACATACATATAAACATGCATACATACATAGGATAGTAACTTTTTCCCCTTGGTAGCACATCTTTTCCCCTTGAATGCACGTTTTCTGGCTTTTCGCGCATTCAAGGGGAAAAGATGCGCAGCCAAGGGGAAAAACTTCGCTTCATACATCCATACATATATAGATGCATACCTACATACATATATACATGCATACATACATATATGCACACCTACACACCTACATATCTATTTTGCATTCCGGACATGTCCCTTCTAGGGGTCTGAAACTGGTTTGAAATTGGTCTGAAGCCAACATACACTCATACTTACATACATACATGCATATATATATAGGAATACATTTACATACATACATATATACAGGAATACATACTTACATACTTATACACATGCATACATACGATACTAACTTTTTACCCTTGGCAGCACATCTTTTCCCCTTGACTGCACGTTTTATGGCGTTTCGATCCACGTCTCCAAGGTTACATCAGAGGCGTTCGATGCATGGGACGAAGTGTCTTTTTTTGAGGAGACCAGGGCCATTGTTAGAACATCCACAAAAAAAGGCAAGGCATCAAGGCCAATAATAAACGCCGATTCCATATGATTGGATCATGATCCATGCTGTTGGGTGCAGCCATTTGTAGCGTCAGGTGCCCGTCTAGACTTTGGTGTTAAATTCCACCTTCTTTTAGTAGGATAATATGTTGTCAAATCCCACCATGTCGTGACGCCCCAGCAGGATGAAGATCCGCTCTTTCAGAAGCAGTTCGCCGTGGATCGCTGATGTAGACAGAAATAAGGGCCACGGTGGGGGAAACTGACGTGATTCTAGAGACATGTGATGATGGAGACAGCAAAATGATAAGATTTCCCTCTAATTTTTCCTTCCGGTATTGAATTTAGGTAAATCTACAGGAATTATGTGATCTTGTTTATTTGAGCCAGCAGTATATATGTGTGTGTAGTATGTAGCCCTCGGTGGGGTGATTTTTTGTGCAGCAGTATAGCCCTCGGAATTCCAGGGCACAATGGCATGCATCCTGCATAATGACGCATGCACACTCCCACACGCATATAAACACTGATTTCATCAACATCCTCTATGATTATACACACAAGAGTGCATGCCAAACTCCTGCGAGGCCATAGCCGGTGCTATGTCCAGCAGCGACTGGCTAGCAACTGCGAAGGCGGGAAACAGATTGGGGCTTCGAAGAAGTGATCGTCGGAATTTCATTATGGGATCCAGTTTCTGGCACCGTTAGGTTTTGTATGTGTTATTGCCTTTTTCATGGTGGCTTGTTGCTTCCCAAGACCCCGGTAATCTTGCTAGAGCACGGATCCGTTCCGAAGAATGTGCTGACCCTATGGATTTCCAGGCCAGCAAGGACGGTTGTAGACAAAAGATGGAGTGTAAAGGGTCATCGTAGGGGACTGGGACCATGTGTCTGTACGCTGTGGGTTCACACGATCTTCTCCAATGTGTTTCCTCTATATACTTTGTAAAGACTTACTGATGATTTTTTGAGAAAAGTTGCTACAAGATTGTTATCCGGATGGAACCTCCGAAAAACGTCTAAAAACTAGAAGTTCCACCTTGGACCCAAACAGGTGTTGTATGTATACACCGACAAAAATGCATCTGTATAGATGTCCTTATCGGTATCTTATCTATTTTTTTACCGCTTAGTTGCACACATTTAATCTAAAAATACAATACATGAACACCATATTGACGTCTTGGAAACCTCTTTGAAACCGCTTTGAAACCCTTTTAAACAAGCCCTGGAAATCCAGGGGGGGAAGGAGAGAGCCAATCATGGGGGATATTTTCCCAGAAAAACTAAATTACATATAAGTCGATGAGCATGAGTGCTGCCCGCGGTTCCTGCAACTTTGCATCGTAGGCCCCACTTAGCGGACGTCAGATGACCGGGAGGTTCAAAATGGATTCGCACAGTGTCAATGTCGTGTTGCACATGAGTTCTAGCTTGCATGAACATACGAGCCGCTGGCAGCAACCAACATCCCAACGTTTAGAAATTTTATTCCATGACTCGAACCACAGCCGTGAGCTAGGGTGGGGACAGCATAGCGAAGTAACATTGCAAATGATTATAGTAGCAGACCGAAGATAGAAACAGGTCAATTTCAGGAGGTTTTGGGAGCAACTTAGAATGACTTTTCAAAGATTTCCATGCTTTTACTATATTTGGGGGAGATTGGTTCCAGGTTTTCGTCAGTCAACACCCACACTAGTCAATTTTCTCCATTTTGGATTCCTTGAGAAAGACAATATAGATGTAGATATGTATATTACGTTTACGTGGTATGTGTAAATGGCGTCCAACCATTTACCCACATTTTATGGGTTGCTGAATCGCCAATGGGGTTCATGTAGCTCCTAAAACACCAGTGGATGCACGCAGTTCCATGTTTTTCCCACCAAACATTTGTTCTGTGCTCTATTTCAGCTCCCGTAAAAAAATATATGCATGTCTATTCAAACCCTTTCCAAGAAGGCATTGTCTTTAGGGGCACCTTTGCCTTTCCATATCTTACTCTCTATTCTGGTCTATGCCGTACGGTTCTACATTTCCCTCCATCAACATCCAAACTATTCAAGTTT